AAAAAAAAAAAAAAACAGAAGAAAAAAGAAAACTATTCTGTGTAATGAATCAAATTTTTAAAATTAAAGTAGAAACTAAAATGAAAATTATTTCCTTAAAGAAGGAATGATAATTCAAATACCCTCTGGCCTGAATCACTACATAACGGACTCCTTCCTCAGAGGACAATGGGGACATGAGCTGGGGTCTGAGTAGCTGATTTCCAGTATGACAGGAAGGCAAAGACTAGAAGCAGCTGGAAACCACCATCATGGTCTGACTTCTCAGGGGTGGCAGGCCCGGGCCAGTACTGTGGCCTCCCTTAGACCTGGGCACCCCAACCATCCTAAGTATCAAAAGAGAAATAGCAAAAAGGGCCCTAGGGTTTATCTAGAGCGACCACTTTTGTGTTCGGGTGAGGAAACCGAGGCCCAGAGAGGGGAAGGGGTTTGCATCCAACATAGACTTCCAGAGAGTGAGGACTGGGTTTCCCAATAGACCCAGTGCAAGCACTGCACGGGCAGATGTTTAAAACATATTTCCAGGCTACATGGTCATGAGTGGCTGGACCAATCATATAACCCATGTCTCAAAGGTGGACTCAAAGACCCCAAACATGGGGCCAAGAAGGAGCACAGGCTGTGGGATGAAACAAGCACAAGGTCATGCCCCTCCCCTGTTAAAAACTCCATCAGCTCCCATCTTATTCAAAGTCAAGGCTATAGCCACGGCTCATGAGGTCCCACGTGCTCTGTCCTCCACCATCACTCTCTCCCCACCCAAGAAAACTCTCTGACCCAGCCTCCTACCATGTGCTCTCTCACTCACTCACCTCCAGCCACACTGGCTTCCTGGCCGCTCTTTGACCTCTCAGGAGCTTTGCACGTGCTGGTCCCCATGCTGAGAACACTCTTCCCATGGTTACCCCCAAGACCCCCCACTTCTTGCAGGGATTTGCTCAAGCACGACCTCCTTGTGAGGCCTTCCCTGACCACCCATATTCAAACTGCCCCTTCCCACTTACCAGCTCACCTCCCCGCCCTCTTTCCTGCTTTGCTCTCCCTCCGAAGCTTATCAACCACCTGGCACACCATGGATTATTCATTTTTCCGTTTCTTGGCACTAGAATCTAAGCCCAAAAGGGCTGGGATTTCTGCCTGTCCCTTGCTGTATCTCCATCCCTAGAATAGTGCCTGGCTTATCATAAGCTCTCAATAACTATTTGCTGAATGAATGAAATAGACCAGATCAATGCCCAGCACTGCCTTGAGCGGATTGCTTGACTCCCTGCTGTGTCGTCACTGTTAAATTGAGATCACAATGTACGGTCCAGCCAACCTGCTGTATCTACATTATCTCACACAGCCAGTATGCAGCAGAGCCAGAGTTCCAAGTCAGGTGTTTGTGACTGCAGATCCCATGATCTTAACCACAGTGCCATCATGCAAAGGATACACTAGACTAAATGTGATTTTGACATCAATGTGAAGATGCTTTCTAAGTCATGTAAGTGTGAAGGGCTGTTATTGTTTTACAGGGTGTTTTGTCTGTATGGACTCCGAACCCTGCCTGCTCCCCTCTCCTGCTTGATTGTCGTTAGTTTGTGCTGTCTTGCTCTTCTGGGTCCCTTCTTTCAAGAGGAAAGTACCTGTGATCCTCAATCTCACCAGACCTTTAGGGATTTAATATACTGCCCTACCCTTTCCATGTCTGCATTTTTTTTTAAAAGGAGGCTGTTGAGGTTCAGTTTAAGCCACAGAGATGAATGATGAAAACTTAGGCATTAGGTTGTTTGGAGAAAAATTCAGGGATGGGAGGAAAATGGTTTGCAGCATTGAATTCTTGTTCATTGACTCCTTGAATCAAGCACTGGCTCCTCTACGAATTTCACCAATAACTTACTCTTCTGTGCTGGCGAGAAACTGCATCTCCGTGGGCACAGTGTGTAGGCCGTTTCTCCGCATAGCAGCTAGGAGGAAAGAGCATGATGTCTTTAGTGTAATGCAGCGAACGGGGCAGGAGTGTCCCAAGTCTGTGTAGTCAGTCAAGAATGCTTTCTTTGCCAAGGAACCTATACTATTCATAGAATCAAAAGACAAAGACAGAGAGGAAAGGAAGGAGGGAGGGAGGGAGGAAGGAAGGAAAGAAGGAAGGGAGGGAGGGGAAGGGGGAGGGAGGGAAAGAGAGAGAGAGAGAAAGAAAGAGAGAGAAAGAGAAAGAAAGAAAAAGAGAGAGAGAAAAAGAAAGTACAAGAAAAAGAGAAAAAAGAAAGAGAAAGAAAAAGAGAGAGAAAGAGAGAGAAAGAAAGCGAGAGAGAGGAAAAGAAGGAAGGAAGGAAAGAGAGAAAGAAGGAAGGAAAGAGAGAGAAAAAGAAAGAAAGAAAGAGAAAATTAAAAAGATGAGTCAGTCAGCATTCTGTCCCCCTGTGCTACCATCCATCTGTGAAGATGTGCCCAGGCCTGTTGGCAGGGGGTTAACAGGGGTTTAGCTGCAAGGCTGATTGACAATCCATAACTCAAGCCTAGGCTTACCTGAATAGCTATTGCCAAAGTTGTGAAACGCCAGGTCTGATGGTACTGAATCAGCAATGGGTTGGGCGACCCTACTTATCCATTCATTCATGCATTCATTCATCCAAAAAGTGTTTATTGAGCACCTACTATGTGCTATTGACTATGTTCTTGGGATACTCTGTGAATAAGTAGCGCATGTGTTTCAGTTCTTCTTTTGAGGTAAGAGCTTTGTGCAACTTGGAACCCAGAGCCACAGCTTGGGCACTTGAACCCTAGCCAATTAATCCACCGGCAAACCACTGTGGAGCACCTGCCATGTGCCCGGTGCTGAGCGACAAGAGATGAAAGTCCATGTCCCCGTGGAGCTGATCTTCTGGTGGGGGAGACAGGCCACACATGACCAAGTTACATATGCAGTATGTGAAGTGAAGGTGCGTGCCATGCAAAAACACAAGGCGGGGAAGGGCCAGGCACCCTGGGGTGAGGCACCCTCTTCAAGGCTCAAAGAAAGTCTGATAAAGAGGGGAATCTGACTTCAAACCAAGACCTGAAGGTGGGGTGGTGAGCCATGCAAACATCTGGGGCAAGAAAGAACAGGTGCAAAGCCCTGGGTGGGAGCACACCCAGGGTCAGGAAGCACAGGGGAGGCCGGTGGGGCTGCAGGGGCTGAGGGAGGAGAGTAGGAGCAGGCAAGGTAAGAGAAGTGGCAGGGGGTGGACGGGGTAGGAAGCGGGTGGGGTCATGCAGGAGTCTCAGAGCTCACAGGAAGAACTGTGGCTTCTCCTCTGAGTCAGGTAGGAGCTTGGGTAGCATTTGAGCAGAGGAGGCTCAGGACAGGAGCTGACTTCATCTTTAAAGTTCTTTCTCTGGTCAAGTATGGTGGTTCACGCCTATAATCTCAGCTACTCAGGAGGCTGAGGCAGGAGGATTGCTTGAGCCCAGGAGATTGAAGCCAGCCTGAGCCATGCAGCTAGATCCCATCTCTAAAAGATATTTTAAAAAATTAGCTGGGTGTAGTGGCGCATGCTTGTAGTCCCAACTACTCAGAGGCTGAGATGGGAGGATCAGTTGAGGCCAGGAGTTGGAGGCTGCAGTGAGGTATAATCATGCCACATAACCAGGCCACTGCTTGGGCAACAGAGAAAGACCTTGTCTCTTAAAGCAAATACACAAAAATGATAAAGTTATTCCTTTGCTTGATGGACCAGACTCCCCAGCAGCCTTTGACAGTGCCTTGGAGACAAGAAAATTAGAACGAATTAAACGTTCCTGCAGCTGGAACCACCAAGAGTAAAACAACCCAGGCCTGGGAGTTGGGTGTGTGGCTGGTGAACAAACACATAGGCCTTGGGTTCAAATCCTAGCTCCGTCACTGACTATGTGACTTTAGGCCAGTGGCTCTCAGTGAAGGCCAACTCTGTACCCCAGGGATGTTGGGCAGTGTCTGGGGGCATTTTTGGTTATCACAGTTGGGTGGAAGGGCAAAGTATTACTGGCATCTATCAGTTAGAGGCCAGAAATGCTGCTAAACGTCCTGCAATACATAGGTCAGCCCACCCCAGCAAAGACTCATCCCACCCAAATGCCACTGATAATGAAGTTGAGAAACCCTGGTTAGGCTCTATCTCTTAATCTCCCTCTACCTCAGTTCTTTAATTCATAAAATGGAAGTAACACTTCTAGGATCATCAAGAGGTTTAAGAGTTAACCTACTGCTGGCATGGTGGCTCACGGCTATAATCCCAGCACTTTGGGAGGCCGAGGCCGGTGGATCACCTGAGGTTGGGAGTTTGAGACCAGACTGACCAACATGGAGAAACCCCGCCTCTACTAAAAATATAAAATTAACTGAGCATAGTGGTGCATGCCTATAATCCCAGCTACTCAGGAGGCTGAAGCAGGAGAATCATTTGAACCCAGGAGGCAGAGGTTGCAGTGACCTGGGATTGCGCCTTTGCACTCTAGCCTGGGGGACAAGAGTAAAACTCCGTCTCAAAAAAAAAAAAAAAAAAAAAAAAATTAACCTACTAAAACTAGGGATGAGCAAACCTCTTCTGTAAAAAACCAGACAATAAACATTTTAGGTTTTGGGGACCATCAGGTCTTTGCCGTAACAATACATCTCTGCCATGGGAGCAGCAAATCAGCCACAGACGACACATCGGTGATTGGGTTTGGCTAAACTTTAGTTGGGGGACATAAAAATTTTTTTTGAGACAGGGTCTTGTTCTGTTGCCCAGGCTGGAGTGCGGTGGCACGATCATGGCTCACAACCGCCTCGACGTCCTGGACTCAGGTGATCCTCCCACCTCAGTCTCCCAAGTAGCTGGGACCACAGGTGTGTGCCACCATGCCCGGCTAATTGTTGTATTTTTCTGTAGAGAGGAAGTCTATGTTTCCGAGGCTGGTCTCTAACTCTGGGGCTCAAGTGATCCTCTCATCTTAGCCTCTCAAAGTGCTGGGATTATAGACGTGACCTACCAGCCCTGGCCTGAAATTTGAATTTCATATAATTTTTCACATGTCACAAAATATTTTTCTTCTTATGATTTATTTCAACCATTTAAAAATATGAAAACTATTCTTAGCTCCCAGGCCGCATAAAAAATAAGCAGCAGGCTGGATGTGGAGGGTCATGGTTTGTCAATCTTGATATAAAGAATTTAGCAGGTCCGTGTAGTCCCAGCTACTTGAGAGGCTGAGGTGGGAGGACTGGTTGAGCTAGGGAGGTTGAGGCTGCAGTGAGCGGTGATCATGCCACTACACGCTACCCTAGGTGGCAGAGCAAGACCCTGTCTCAAAAAGAAAAAAAAGGAAAGGAAGAGAGAGAGAAAGGAAGGAAGGAAGGAGGGAGGGAGGGAGGGAGGAAAAGGAAGGAAAGAGGAAGGGAGGGAGGGAAGGAAGGGAGAGAGGGAAGGGAAGGAAAGGAAAAAGAAAGAAAAAGAAAGGAGGGAGGGAAGGAGTGAAGGAAGGAAGGAAGGAAGGAGGGAAGGAAGGAAGGAAGGAGGGAGGGAGGGAAGGAAGGATTGATTTAACAGGAAGCTGAGTGCTAGCAAAGGTTCAGTAAATGTGGGTTACCCTTGAGAAATAAGAAAACAGAGCCCCTGGCACCGGGAACGAGTCTGACTCTCAGAGCCAGGTTACTTTGTTCTCCTGTTGGACTTCCACAATCTAACAGAACACTGACCTCAGACAAAGTCATAAGCAAGGTCGTATTACCACCCTCAAAATCCCGAGCACCCCTCTCTCTTGCTAAATGAGTGACTGCTCCTTCCTTACCCAGCTCAGAATTGCCTCTGGTCTCCCACAGTGCCCAACCTCCAGCCCTGATCCTGTCTTGAGTTCCTTTTAACACCCCCGTCCTAAGACACTCAGGGTGGCCCATGCCTGCGTGCCCCCTCCCTGCTGCCATAAATGATAACTCAGCTCGTTTCATGACTAGCGTGTTCCTCGGGTCTTTGGTGAAGGCCACTGGTGCTCTTCAAGGAAACTATGCAGGACACAAAACAAGTTTGATTTTTTTTCTTTTTTACATAGGATTTTCCTTCACATGGATGTCAGGCCACACAGTCAGCCACGTGGACATTCCTTGTCTCACCCAGCAGCCTGGGGAAGTCCCTTCCCCACCCTGGGCTGCTCTCGTGGTACCCCATTGGTACCAGATTCCATGGTGGCTGGCCGTGTCATTTTTTCTGTGACTGGCCTTGTTGGTCACCTGCAGGGGTCTAAGGGTGAAAGTCGAGTCAGCTGCTCTGGGCCATACGGATGAGGGCCCCTGGGCATGAGTGCTGGGAACAGGTCCACACGCCATGCACGAGGCCAGGGTCCAGGGCACTGAAGTAGGAAGCGAGGGGCTATTAATAACACACTAAGGTGGAGGGCAAAGTTGCTCCCCGGGGGATGGCCAGACAGGAAAAACTCTGACTTGGTGACCCCCAGCCCCCACCATCTCTAGCTCACTCTACCATCTTCCCACCTGGGCACTGTGCAGGTGAGTCCTTTATGCAGCCAGGGTGAACAGCAACTTGTCTGAGGTTACAGATAGGGAAACTGAGCTCAGCAGCTGGCCACAGCCCTCACCTGGCCCCGTTTGCTCTGCATCTGAGTTGGAAGAGCCCTGATAAGAGATTGTATGTGGTATAAATAAGGTAGTGGAGGGTATTCATACATGCAGAACTCTAAACGGTAATTAGCTTTATCATGTAAGATCAGGAAGGAAGGAGTTTTGCCTTTTCCCTAGAGATTGGTAATGTGAAAAAAGTTAATAACAGGTATTATTTTCTGATGATGATGAAGTCATGTAGATGAAATTGGAAAGCCTGATGCTGAGCTGAGCTCTTAGGCATTTACCCAGGATCCACCCCTGTGCTTCCTGTGATCTCAGTGGCCCAAGAGACCACGTGGAAACAGGCCAATAAGGCTAAGGCCCCAGAGAAACTTCTCTGGGTCCAGAAAT